GCCCCAACCCAGGTGCAGGACCTTGCAGTCGACTTTGTTGAACTTCATGAGGTTCACACAGGCCCACCTCTCAAGCCTGTCCAGGTTCCCCTGGATGGCATCCCTTCCCTCCAGTGTGTCAACCACACCACACAGCTTGGTGTCATCAGCAAACTTGCTGAGGGTGCACTCAATCCCACTGTCCATGCCACCAACAAAGATGTTAAACTGCGCCGATCCCAATACTGACCCCTGAGGAACGCCACTTGTCATCTGTCTATCCACTTGGACATCGAGTTGTTGACTGCAACTCTTTGAGTGTGACCATCCAGCCAATTCCTTATCCAATGAATCATCCATCCATCAAATCCATGTCTCTCCAATTTAGAGACAAGGATGTCGTGCAGGACAGTGTCAAATTTTGCACAAGTCCAGGCAGATGACATCAGTTGCTCTTCCCTTATCCACCAACGCTGTGACCCCATTGTGGGTGGTCACCAAATTTGTCAGGCACGATTTGCCCCCATATTCATGCCTCTGGCCTCATTAGCTGCTTTTGTGTCATTAGGTAGTAAGTCCTCTGCAGGTGGGAGTTGTCTCTTGTATGTTTGTCCAGTAGCATTATGAGGCCCTGATCTCTGCTGGGAAGCCTAGATACATCTGCAGATGGTAGAGTCATATGTGTCTAGCCCAGCCTTGATGTTTTCTGCTGCCTCAGAGGTTTCACTCTCCATCTGGGGGAAATAACAGAGTGTGATAAACAGTGAAAATCTGCCTCTTGAAAACCCCTTGATTGCTGCTTCCAAATAGTTCCTTAAAGATTCTGCCAGTTCTGCAAGACCCACAGAAAAGTTTACAGAAAGGGAAAAGCATATGCCATGCTTTATTGCACAGTTTTGCATTGACACCTAATATACTTTAGCAAATTTATTAAGTAGAGGCCCCTGGTGGTGAAATTCAGCGTTAAAAATCTAACTGAAGTGAACCATGGATATGGAAGATGGAGGATATGTGTTTTTGTCTAGTTTGTACACGGTTGCAAGTGTCTGTGCGGAAGGAAGCTGGAAAGTAAGGCGATTAGAAGTAGAAAGCATTCTGTAGCTTAGTGGGGTACTGTTTTCTCTAAGAGCTTCTCTGCTGGAGGCAGCCCTGACTGAGAGCTAGGTGTTAGTTTGGGAAGAGCTCATCAGTGGGGAGCTCAGTGCATCCAAGAGAAATCATGCAGGAGCAGTAGGGTGTCAGATGAGGTTTGCTGGGGCTGGGAAACGAGGTAAGGAGTGCAGAGAGCAACCTCTGGCTACGTCTGTCATGCAAGCTGATATATGTCTTGAGTGCATAGCCACGGTCAGGGCAGGAGGGCGTACCAGATGTCAAGGGGGAATGTGCTAGAGGGGCTGCAGATCAGGCTGGAGGAGAAGGGGAAGGAGCATGCCACGCTCACTGTTGTCGCCAAGTCAATGGCACAACCAGCTGGGAACTGGCAAACAGGGAAGAAGCTTCCAAGGCGTTACTACTGAAGAGTTACTTGGTAGAGCCAGCAGGCAACCTCTGCAGGGGGAGCTGATCACAGGATGGTACCCTGCCACAGAGAAGTGCCTGTGAGGTCCCAGCCCACACTGAGCAAGAGAACCTTGACACCTCAGAGAGACTGTTCCTGGGGGAAGGAGCCATGCCTTGCTCGCTACCCAGAAGTAGCAGTGCTGTTTTCATCATCTCTGTGTAGTGTGACTGAGTGACTTTCAAATGGTGTTTCCTTGCTTTGCTTTCAGTGGATCCCTTTGAGACAATGCTGAAGTCCCTCTTGAGGTACCAGTCCAGCCTGAATGGGGATACAGGAGAGAGCCACAGGAGGAGAAAGCTGTATGAAAATGCTGTGACCAAGTCCTTGCAAAGTAACTTTGCTCTCATACAGAAGGTACATAACTGCCTTTGTACACCGTAGAAGCCTTATGTGGCTCACAGGGGAAAGTGTAGTGAGAATGATCACTAGGATAAAGGAGCTGCATTCAAATGAGAGCTAGAACTGTGAGCATCTGACACAGTGAACAGCCTCTGCCCATTCAAGCATAGTGTGAATATTTGGTTTCTCTTAGCTCCAGTGGGTTAGGGGGAAGGGCTGAGCTTGGTGACTTTTTATGCCAAGATACCAGGTGCACTTAAAGATACTGGAGCATCTGGATTCTGGATTTATTTCCCAGGACAGGAGGGAGGAGCAAGGAATCAGCTATTGGGACCACAAACAGGTGAAGCACTGTTCTGTTGACTCAGTCGAGCAGCCAGAATATGATCTGTTTTCCCAGTCTGGAGCTACTAGTATTAAAGGGTTTAAGGGTTCTCTTGTGACAGAGGGAACAATAGAGGAGGACAGGGCTGACTCGTTGGGGGAAAAACCTTGGGAAGAGGCAGAAGATTTGAGGCTAAAATGTTTCTGTTTAAGTTAACAATAGAAGGAAACCCTGGAAAGAATGTAGCTTCGTGCCATAGCCATGAAAGTTGGTCTGCCTTAGGAACTGGGTGGGAATGTGTCCAGGGTATATTTGGTAAATAGGCTGCTGATATTACTGCCAAGTAATGGTTCCTTCCCTCTCAAGCTGTCAGAAGAGTTGCTAGCCAAATGGCTCTCCCTCCCTGAGGCACAACACATTCCCCTCTGCCAGCACATGCTGGGCTTTGCCATGAAGTCTGTCACGCAAACAGCTATGGGCAGCAGCTTTGAAGACGACCGGGAAGTCATCCGATTCCGCCGGCACCATGATGCAGTAAGTGTCACAAACAGCCAGGAGATCTCTTCTTATATTTTTCCACACCAATAGCATACAGCTTGTGTCTGTGTACAGTTTAGTACAAGCTGCTGCTAAGACTTTAACATTAAGCTAACACTATGCTTCAGAGCTTGAGGGCTCTGCCTCAGCTGTCCCAAGCCGAAACTGTCAGAAAGATCCTACTGCTGATCCTGCTGTCATTAGTCTAAGGTGTTTCTAAAGGATCTGTGGGGATCGGGAACCTAGATCCAATGGCAGTTGAGAGGTGTTTGGTACCTAAGTCAGTTAAACTCTACTGGGAATGCCAGTGGAACTTCTCCTTTTCACAGATCCTCTGAAGGCTCTGTGACATTGTGGAGAAAGGGAAATCCGAGGAAGTCCCAAGCTGTGTACACATCTGGGGATGTTAAATCTGCTGGTGATAAGGTGGGAAAGAAACAGTTCCACCTCCCATTCAAGATTCCCATGCCTTTTCCCCTACAGTTGTAATTACAGTTGTTTCATTTCAACTCAATTTCAGCTATCATAGACATAATATCTGGAATGGGACATGGTGTCCTAAAGAGGACACCAGTTCTGTATTCACAGGAAGTCTTAATTTTATTTGGTATTTTCATTTTCCTGAATAGGGAAGAATAGAAGAGTCCCAGCAGTCTCAGCCTGTGGTGAGTGATGGTGCTTTTCTCTCTGTCCTTCTTTCAGATCTGGTCAGAGATTGGGAAAGGTTTCTTGGATGGATCCCTTGACAAAAACACGACTAGGAAGAAGCTCTACGAAGATGGTAGGTTCCTCTCAAAATCACAGTCTTTCTCCCACTCTGATTAATACTGAGTTAGCTAGTGTATGGAAGCACTTAATTTGTCCAGCTGTCTTGGCTTTATTGCAGAGTTGGTCATTGTGCCATAAGCTACCAGAGGCATCCTCCTTACTGGCATAAGATCATTGTTTTGGAGTTGAGTGACAAGCTGGCCATTGGGCAAGAAGTTTGTAGGACTAGAACTCTAGTTCCAGCACTAGTTCTAGGGTCTGTCCAGCCTGGAGACTGATAGAGGATTCTTGGCAGTATCAGGGTGTGCTTGATCCCTTCCTGTTCTGTTCCCTAGTGTCCACTTTTGACCTCTCTTGGAGGCAGGCAACTGTGCTAGGTGGAGACAGATGGAACCACATGGTTTGGCTATTCCTATGGCCATTCTTATGATGCACCATTTGGTGAATGCGCTGGCAGACAGTCACTCACAGGCTAGAAGACACAAGTATAGAGGTGCTGCTTTGATTGATACCTTCCACGTGATAGCCTCTGATGTGTTATTCCAAGGTAACATGATTTTCAAGTCTGTTATGGTAGTGCTTTTATTTCTTATATATTTCACAGTAAGTTATTTTATTTTTCAGTTGTCCTGTCTTTTTTGTTGTTAATAGTTAAACCCTTTCAGTATTGATTGATAAGATATTAATAAAAATAGCTTGTATCTACAACTAAGGATTTGCTTGTAAATCCTTCAAACCCAGCGTTTCCTTCTTCATGTTGCTGGTTCTGTGGGTTTCAGAACCTGAGGACAACTACTGTCCTGTTAAAACGGGCTTCTTGCATGGGCACTTTTTCAGGACTGTTCTTGAGTTGTAGTAGGATGATGCGTTAGGACACAATTTCACAAACTCCATATAGTGAGGCTTGGTGTCGCAGGCCTTCCTGTGCGGAGAGGAAGGAGGAAGGGTGGTTCTAAGACGAAGGGGCTGAATTGGGCTTTGGTAAATCAAGTTTCAGATCCAGTTTACACCCCATGTTTCCTGGATACTCCTGAGTAGGTTGTTTAAGTCAGACAGCCAACAGCATCTAGGTCCCTAACTCCCCCCAGTTCCCACAACAGCCACCAGGAGTTAGGTACCCAAATATCTTCAGATGCGTGGACTCTGCCAAAACCCTCCCATGTTTTCCCCACATTCCTCTCTCTGTTTATGCAGACTGTTTAGCACCAAGCCATCCTCTTGCACCGTGCTTGTGGAACCCCTAGCAAAAGGGACACCATCAGTGGCTGGAGGTCCTGTAAGACTTCAGTAATTATAACCCTACAGGCCATGCAAGTAGTGTAATCTGGCTCAAACGTTTTTTTATGGGAGCTGATTAAACACGTTCTCTGATGGTTCAACACTTAATGGTTATCTGACTTCCCCTTAACGTGATTTCAGCTCATAGAGTACATATCTTGGTTATACCTGTAAGGGTGACTTTTCATAGGCAACCTGTCTTATTTGGTTCCTACCTTTTCAACTAAATTGGAGATACCGCCTTCCAAATTGACAGTAACATGTAACAGAGGCTGCTTCTGTAAGTGAGCCCAGCAGGGACAGCTGGTCTGAAAATCTGCTTGGGGAGATGGATTTGCTTCTCTGCAGCACTCAGGATGACCAGGTTTTAAAATACACATTTCTTTTTGCTTCCAAAGCTCTGATGGAGATGGAATCCACCTTAAGGAGAGTTACAAAGGAGCGCCGAGGCAGATCATTCAACAGGCACATCTTTATAGACACCTTGCTGCAGGGGAGCCTGAGTGACCATCAGGTCTGTGCAGCTGTTATGTCATTACACAGTAATGGAGTTTTGCTAGATGGGCAGCTCATTACATTGTAGCCTTTGATTAATTTTAAGTTTTTACATCTTGGGTCAGATTCCTTACTAAAGCAGGGTTTCTTGTTCTTTTTTCCACTCCTACAATGTCTAATTGCATTAGACTTTGGTAGCTTTCCCTGCCACTGCTTCATTGCTATTTTTATAAACCAGAAGTATGTTAATATTAAGCATGTCTCATGTGCCATTCCAGTGGAAGTTCTATAGAGAGTTCAGCCCATGTCTTCTAGATGCATTTTCTGCTCTCTGCACTAAAGGGATTTCATGTGCTTGAGTGGAGAATGTGCCACTTCTTTTTTTATCTTTACAGTCTTATGAACTTCATTCTCTGAAGTAGATTTTATTTCCTAGATTCTGGAAGATACAATGATTTTCTCCTTGGCAGGATGCATAATCACTGCTAACTGTAAGTACAGATTGTAGGTAACTTTACGTCCTTACACTCAGCTGTCTAAAACTGTGTGTGATGACATGAGAATTATTCTAGGCTAATAAAAAACTATATTCATCATTCTCTTTCTCCTGAGCTACAGATGTATAGAAGAAGCTAATTTTTACATCAGACTCTTGACACAGACTCACAACTAGTGAGTTGAAACTAAGCTGTGTTTGACAACCTTCCCAGTCTTTCGGTCAGCCTTAGAATTTCTTCCCATTGCTTTTCGCTTGCACTCTAACCCCAGCCAGCTGATGCTAAATGGATGAAAAAGCACCAAAAGATGTAAGACACAAAGATTATGTTGTAAAATAGGTTCTGGCACATGGGAAGGAAATTAAGGCAGAGTCCTGGAATCTGACTGGCCACTTTGAATTTCTGCAGGATAGTTGTATTCCATGTATGGAAGACTTTCAAAGGAGCTACTTTGGATTTGTGCAAAGACTATGGAAAAAACCCAAATAAAAATACGAACTGGATCTGTGTAAAATCTCTTATGATAGGGGTATGATTGTTAGGCCCTGTATCTCAGCCAATGGGGCTGGGACTTCAAAGAAAACCTCCCAGGTGCAGCTGGATGTTAAAGAACATGGAAGGTAAATTTGGCAACTATAATAATACTCTCCTCAGAGAATATCCTCTTCCAAGTACTCCAGGAAGACTGTAATTTCAAGGGTCTTGAATCCTCAGGGTTTCCAGATAGTTCTCATGAATAGACAGTTTGGAGTGGTAGAAACAATTCCTCGTAGCTTTAGGGAAACTGCGTCCTACACACTTATTTCTTATGCAGGGTTTCTTTTTCACTCTGCTATTGAAGATATCTCTTGTGTATCTCACAAAATAGATGTAGGGGAGACAAGTGCTGGCCAGCCTGCTGCAGAGAGCTGTACTGTTCTTGTGGCTCCCTGTCAGGACCCCCAGACGTTGGCTGTCCAGAGCACTTGCCTGAGATGTGCTAGGGAAGCCCCCTAAATAAGGGAATTTTCTGATGCTTTGAACAAATCAACCTTTCATTTGCGTGGTTGGTCTAATAACCCTGGTGCCCCAGGGTTTGCTGGGCTGTGTGGTCCCTTCCCCAGAGCTGTGAGGCTGAAAGGCTCAGTCTCCTGCACAGCTTCCTAATCTCCTCATAGCACTGGAAAGAGAATTCTAACTTGCAGCGTCTCTTGTTACACAGGAGTTCAGCCTCCGCTCCTGACACTGAACACAGAATCAGTACAGACACAAACACACAATCAGCTGTGAACAGAGGTCACCGTTTTCTGGGTCAAAAAGTAATGTTGTAAATACAGGAAGTAAAAAAAAAAAAAAATGCAGTTTGATGCAGTTTGTAAAGGATTGAGTTTTCTGGGTCCAGTCTTGTCTTGATTTCTTCCCTAGTGTGTACGTGGGCAGTTTATTTCCTGACAACCTCAGAAGATGTTCAGCAGAATCTCTACAAGGAGATGGACCGCATTCTGGGGAAGGGACCAATTACACATGAGAAAATCGAGCAGCTCAGGTGGGTCCCTTAGAAGGAAATGCAGAGTATGGTTATCTCATGTGGTGGGGACAGGGGCTTCATGTGCTGGAGCCTGATGCCCAGCCTTCACTGGGCCAGGAGAAGGCATCCAAATGCTACTCCCTTCTTTCTTCTGGAAGTGATCAAACCATAGGATGACTTGCAGCAGAGAGAGAATCTGCTGTAGGGCTCCAGACATGGGGACCAAGCTGCTCACTTCAAAGTGTCTGTAGGAAACCCTTTAGGTTCCTCAGCAGAGGAGAGCACAGAATCAGTGCCCTGGCTGCCAGGTCAGAATTTGTTTGCTTACTGTCTTGTTTGGTTTCTGTCCTAGTTTTCCAAAAGTAGAGGTAATCAGCGCCATTTTAATGGTTGGATTCGTGTTAGACACATTTAGAGAGAAAGCATAGAATAATCTTCTTTTCAAAGGGCCACAGGATGATGACTGGTCAACAGTGTGCCTTTATTTTTTGTGCAACTGGGTGCATTTTGTATTCGGACTAGTGTTAGAGTTTCGGTAAGAGTAGTGGGTATGTGGGTTTCTTGCTGCTTGTATGGGCGACAGGTCCAGGAAAAGGGCTGGTGTGTTTATGCTTTTTAGCAGAGTTAGTTTGGTTTAAAATCTGAAAAAAGTGTGGTGAAGAGAGATTTCGATAACCTCCCCCCTAAAAGCTGATAATGAGATTTAATGCTTCTTGCAAAGATGCTGGGACTCCTTGCCAGAAAAAAAAAAATTAATTGCCTCAGTGTGGCTTGAGACAGCTCCAGGAGCAGAGGGTGACCCTAAAAGCAGCAGGTGACTCAGCTCTCTCTGCTGCCACAAGGATGTGGAGAAGCTTCTCTCTGGGAGGGTTAAACTAACCAATCTTACTGGTTGCAGATACTGTCGGCAAGTGCTGTGTGAGACAGTGCGAACAGCAAAGCTTACTCCCGTTGCTGCACAGCTGCAGGAGCTGGAGGGCAGAGTCGACCAACATACCATCCCCAAAGAGGTATGGCAGTACTGGGAGCATTAGGCCACCCTCCTATGCTGGAGGGGAATTTGCTGTTTCCTCTTCTTCCCGTGGAGGGGTGAGGCAGGAAGACCATTTCTTCTGACACTGTTGAACCTGAGCAGCTGCTCTGTCATCTCAAAGTACAGTTTAGCTGAAAGTTTCCCCTGCAGTTCCTCTGCAGCAGAGGCTCTGGAAATTCATGTTATCTTGCTGAGCAGATTTGCTTTTGGTTCTGGGTCCACCAGGGATGAATCATCTCTTGAAGGGGCTTATGGGCTCAGCTGTGCATAAAAGAGCATGATTTCAGGCCTGAGCATATCACCTGTATTTCCCACACAGAGTGGTACCTTCCATTGCAGAGAATAAAGTAGTCCATACATGCGTGCCAGCAAGAGTAGAGGAATGGGATCAGAGCCTCTCTAACCACCAACAGTTGCAGCATGGGCCTTAGAAGTTAAAATCCTAACATCTGGGCATGGATTATGGAAATCTGTAGATTAATATAGCATATTATCTTTTTAATCCACCTAATAGATATGAGTAGTCTACAGAATAATCATCATTCAGCAGCGCCATCCAGAAGTGTATTTAATTGTGCATTTCTTTCTGCTCTGACGTACATGTCCTAATTTTCTTTGCAGACACTTGTGCTTTATGCTCTTGGTGTCATGCTGCAGGATAGTTCATCTTGGCCATCACCATACAAGTATGTAGAATCAAGACTTTTATTGCGATTAATTCCTTTCTTTTTTTTAATTAATATTCTTTAGATCTTACAGCACAGCCTGTTTGGCTGCAGGGCCTGCCTTAAGCAGATTTTGGAGATGAAAGGGAGTCTGAGAAGATCAATTTATGAAGGTCTTGGTTGGTTTGTCTCCATTTGGGGGCAATTCAAGTCATGATCCTCCCATGCTGCAGTCTGCATGTGTGTATGTGTTAGAGTTTAATAAAATCTTTTTTTGCACACACACACACAGCTTCTGTGGCAAATGGTGGTAAATTCTTTTTAAGATTTCCTGTGAGAGAGAAACAGTGATTTGAATGGCTTTGGAATCACTGCTTCTGATCATGAAATGATGATGCAAGGGAGGAAATGTCAGTCTGAAGTTTTTTTTTTTCAGGGGGAAGGGAAATGCTACCTCATTACTTCTATCTATGAAAACAAAACTGGATCCAGGCCAGTATTTCGGAGGTTAAAGAAAAAAATTTCCGTAGCTTCCCGTGGCCTCCAGGTGGCAAATGTTAACATGTATCTGAGTTGCTTGGGATGGGGAAAAAAATGTGGGTCAGTTATTCTAGACAGAGATAACAGACAGCTGAGATTTAGGAGAAAGAATAGAGCCTTTAGAACAGCACTTGTCCTCTCCTGCGAGCATAGCTCTTACAAAAGGGTCAGGCATTGATGCACCGATCTACGAGCATCGTGGCAGGGATTGCCCACTAGGATAGGACACGCACCGTGTTTATGAAAGGTTTGCTGAGGCCTCGAGGGAGGGACAGTGAGGACTGCTTTGAACACAGTGTGTTTATTCCAAGGAGAAGGAGGTTGAGGTTTAGCCCGAGGTAGATATGTATTTCTGTGATGGAGATAGGAGATCAGCTCTTTGTGATCCTTTCACCTACCTACTGTACAAAAACACTGTGCATGGTTGGTTGCCCTCTGTATTTTTTTGCTAGGCAGCTGCATTTTCTTTGCTATTACAACATCTGTAATTTGCCACTTCACGGGGAATGTAAATTTGATGCTGCTTTTACTGAGGGTCAGCACCCACATGCCCCTTCATCTTGGTAGAAGCAGAGCTTAGATGTTTAGGCAGGGACCCAAAGGCTTGAAGTATAAGCAGAAAGGTTTAGCAGAAAGTGAAAGAGAACTGCCTTCCAACCATCAAATTTCCTGTTTGTGTTTTTTTTTTAATATATTTAAATTGATTGATATTTTATTAGCCTCCCTATGATTAGCTATTATGGGAATCTTGTTCTAACTCATGCCAGCCCTGGACAATAGTTTTCTCACAGCCTCCACCATCCTAATGCTGGAAACCACTTTTCTCACTTGAATGAGTCACCAGCTTCCCTCCCCCAGCACATATACATAAACACACCAGCTGCTTGAAGAGAAGGGTGAGGGGCAAAGAGAAAAGGAAAATATTTTTGGAAGTGAGAGAGGAAGGGACACAGAGCGGGAGAGAGAGGGAGACAAATCAGATTGTGTGTGCCCTGGAGGGGAATAGAGGGCAGGTAGCAGCATCAGCTCAGCTGTGTACTCAAGCTAAATATCCACTGCTGAGACGTAATGCATATTAGTTCCAGCCCTCTGTCACACTAACTCAGTTTATCAGCATTTTGACCAAGCTGGGACACAGCTGACCATCCACAGATGGGAACATAGAGGGAGTGGATGCACAATTGCCTTCATATATCAGTGTGGAATTACCCAGCATGATTTAGAGAGAGCAAATTAGTGAGAGTCTATATTTCATTGCCAGTTTCTTACTCATGTGTGCACACACGTGTCTGGGGAAAGGACCCTGTGTGCCTGCACAGAAAGCCTCAGTGTATTTTGTCTTTCATAGGTTTGACCCAGAGAGATTCAGTGAGGAATCGGCCATGAAAAACCTCTCCTTGTTGGGTTTTTCAGGAAGCCAGGAGTGCCCAGAGTTGAGGTGAGCATAGGGAAGGAGGTCTTTGTGTGTCTCTGTGGCGGACAGGAGAGAAGGTGCTTTCAGCCTGTTCCGGTTACTGCTGAGGCAATCTGTCCAAGCTGGCAGTTGTCCTTTGGCAGATTTACATCATAGCAAGGCTTTTATTCTTTTCTCCTGCCTCTTCCCTCAGGTTTGCCTATATGGTGGCTACAGTTCTGCTGAGTGTCCTGGTAAGGAAACTGTATCTCCACCCAGTGAAAGGACAAGTCATGGAGACAAAATATGAGCTGGTAACCTCACCAAAGGAGGAAGCCTGGATAACGGTGTCTAAGAGAAGCTAAGAGCAAGTGAAACAAGGGGCTAAAAGGCCCAGCAGTGAAGTTGTGAGCAAGGATCTTAGGGGGAATCATGCTGGCGCCACACTGACTCAGCCAAGGAATTTTACATCCGGATTTTGTTACCTTCCACGTTATTAACCACATACTTCTCTTAGGTACTTTTTCTAACTCAACCAGTAGTCATATTAAAGTAGATTTAATCTGTATGTCTTTTTTACATTTGCTTTTGGATCTCTGGCCGAACCATTGCAAAGGAAGCAACAAAACCTTGCAGTGGAGTGTGTATGAACTATTGGGTGTCAGCCAGTCAAAGACCAGACCTCTGGTTAATCCCGGCCCTTTCCAACAGCAGCCAGAGCTGGATAAGTGTGCCTGTCTTATCCAGTGGAATGATTCTTCATGGATCCTAGCTAGATAAGACCTTGGAGACACAAGGACAAAGCCTTTCTCTATATATAGGTATTTTTATTCGAAGTGTCTTTGCTTCCCTTGAGCTACAGCTATAACTGTCAAGAAAAGCAGATATATCTTGTGAGAAATATGTGTGAGTGTGAGAGAGAGAGAGAGAAAGAGAGAAATAAACTGGGGCGGGAATTGCACCACCAGTTCTCTTCCTGTGTAATCTTGCCATGCTGTGGGGTTGCAAGAGAAAGGATGACTGAGAAATGCTAGTAAACCAAGAGCCATAAAATTGGTTTAGCCCCTGAGAAAACAGAAGCATCAGTAGTAATATAATGAAATGCAATAAAACCACAGAACAAAGCCCTGAGAAAGGGGTTCTCTATCCTGACAGTTCTGAGGGCAGTGTCTAACCTAATCAGCATCAGAAATTGACAGATGCTTGCAATTCATTCAGCACTGGGTCAGCATGAGACTGGTCATGCAAATACTAGAAAGGGAGAGTGTTGATTTTATAGGGCTCTGGATTAATGTTGTACTTAGTAACTTAAAAGCCTTTCAAAGAATCCTTTTCCTCCCAAAATGGGGGCCAGCCAAAGCCGCATTGCATGCCACATGTTCACATGCTTTTCCCTGCTTCTTTCTTTCTCTTTTGGCTGTCATAGATCAGCTCCTGGAAGATTTTTCAGAGCCCCACTGAATGGCTTGCGAGGCAGGAACCTTTTACCCTGTTGTCTCATTGGAGTAATTGCCATCTGACTTACTTTTCAAGTTGTGTTTCTCCCCTTTTTTTGTTTTCCCCTCTTACATAGGATCACCTTTTACCTGATCTTTATAAGTCTCTTCCCCCTAAACCTGACTTCTCTGTTAGCTCCAGTTCCTAGACCCCTTGCCACCCAAAAGCTGTGGTGGTGGTAGGTGAGGTGTTGCTCAGCCTACAGCTGCGTACGCCCGAGCTGCTTTTGTACACTGCAGAGCAGGCCAGCGTGTGGCTACCATGAGGGCTACTTTCTACTGCCTCTGCAGACAGGGCACACATACCTGGTAGCTGCAATTCCCATTACTACAGACATTGTTCCTTTCACTGGCACCTTCCAGGTCAGGGAATCTGTTGCTCTTATGAAAATGTTTTGGCTCTTGTATTGCTGCTGAGTTCCAGCCTGAATGCAGTCCTGTCAGATCTTATGGGGTTAACATCTGATGCCAGCCTCTGTGGGCACCAGACAAAGAAAGTCCTGCTCTTGGGTTTAATGTGTCAGCTCCAATTTTGGTGGAGCTGTAGAGATTCAGATTCCCCCCCAATGCAGTTCATGTTGGGGGAGAGGTGAGACAGAGATGCTGTTCTACTGTTTTTGTCTGCTGGGCAGAAAAAGGAGGTTTATGCAGTTCAGATTGCCTCTATTGCATTGATTTTTATAACGAACTGCAAGAAAGCTCTTGCTAATCTGACCTCTGTTTAACTGAAGGTTGGTCATGTCCCCAGATGGCAATTCACGTTAGGCTTTGCTTCACTGCTTATGCAAAAAGGCCTGTTTTTCTTGAAGGTTGCAGATGTTTCCTAAACCTTCTGGAGAAATCAGTGTGGTAAAGGATTTTACTTTAAAGCATCCCTGGTGTGCGGAGAAGGCAAAATGGAGGCTAAGTTATTGCCTTCTTGGGAAAAAAATAGTAGGATAGCACTGTCCCTGCTAGGAACCGGACAAGGAATAGCTGACTGGCATATAATTGAGTGGTAAAGATCTGCTTGCTTGTAGCCATGTCATAGGAATGAAGCTTTCAGACACCAGAAAAGCTTCCCAAGTGTAATTGTCCAGATTTCTGCTACAGCATTTCTCTGCCTTACTGGAGCTGTACAGGCCAACTGCCTTGTAACAGCCCTTGCCCAATTACAGGAATCAAAAATGGGAGTAATTCTGTACGAGTTGTTACGAATTTTCTGTCAGCCTGCACAGGTATCACATCCCGTAAGACTGTGCTCTCAGTCTGGGCCAGTAGCCAGGCATGCCGCAGGAGTCCATGACTGATACGAGAGAAGAATATGGCCCAAAGTGCTGGAGAAAACCAACGATTAGTTTGTGTTTGTTCAAAACTGCTGTCAAAAACCCACCCTGACTCATCAGTTAAGGAAATGTGTTGAGCATGGAGGGAAAGGAGGGGGGTAAGGCAGTCTCAAGCATTTGTTATGCACTGCTCGGAGTGACACAGAGGTCACAGCCACATTGTTTGCTGAGGTCTGCAAGTTTCCATTTCTCACTCTATGTGTGTCGATCATTTCAAACAGCCCAACTATGAAGATTTAGTGCAACACTCATCAGCCCAGCTATGGATCCTTGTCTTGTGCAGCAACCCCCCTTTTTTTGTACAGGAATGTTCATGGGTCAGAGCTTTCTTATGAAGTTTTAATCTATTTTGATTGGAAGCTTGAAATACTAGTTTTGTCCCATTTCTCCCCTCACCCCTTGTCCGGCATGCACTGTCAGCTGGGTCTTGTTTGGCCTGGTTTCCTAAGGAAGACTTGTGTTGATAGAGCGTGCCCCTCTCCCCACTTAAGTTCGGCCATTTTCCCCTTTCTCTTTGCACAAGAAGTAACTTCTGAGCCCTCGGGCCAAATCAGCTGCATTTGACAGGGATCAGGGTTTGAAATCTCAACACTGTTATGTTCCTACAAATTCCATGGAAAAAAAAGATGACTGGGCATAGGGAGTCTGTGCTGGACGTGTCACAAGATCGCAGCCAAAGCCAAAGCATTGTTCGATGCCAGCGTGGGGAAAAGCCTGAGCCAGCACCTGCCCTGTAGCAGGCAGCCAACCTCAGGAGTCTGGTTGATAGAGAACAGGGTTTCGGCAGTCCTGCTGCTCAGACCCACAGACTAAGGACACATCTAAGGCCCAGACATCCCTTCTGGCTGTAACATGGGGATGCGGGCAAGCATTGCAACCTGTGGAAAAAAAGGCCTTGGTCTAGGAACAAAGCCAAGAGGGGGAGGTTGCTTCTATAATATAGGGAATTACTGCTTTTTGTGCTTCATGTTTGTGCCCTACACTAGAAAGTTGCTTCACAATTCCACAGGATGATTTTGAAAAGCATACAGAAAAGCTGTCATCTCATTCCTTGGACTCTTACTGTAGAACAATCTTCTACAGAGGGCTACAAACTCATGGAAGGTATGAGGCTAAATATATTTCTGTGCCTATGCAACCTGCTGGTCTCAGAAGCAGGCAGCCAGCACAGGTGCTGGGAGCAGTCAGGCCATCTTTAATTGATTTGTCATGGCTGTTTCTGGCTGACAAAGCCTTATACTTTTGCCCCTTCTACTGCTGGCAACTGGTGAGACAGTTGTTAACATAACTGAGCAGAGCAGACAGCTTACTGAGCTAGCCTCCCACTACCTCCAAAATATCCATGAATAGTGTTACCTCTAGATTTTAATTAACTTGGGCTGCATATAGAGCCATTATTGCAAATTAGTAATATCCTTCTGTTCCCAGCAGTTTAAGGACTTGCTGGTAATGGCTGTGGCATGCAGCACGGAGTTGAGGACGGCTGTTTTATTTTCCATCATTAAATGGAAAGGATGGCCTTGGCAACTTCTGTCCTACTTGCTGCAAAAGAAATGTTGGTTGCTGAGCACAGTGGACATTTGCTGATTTAAAAATACCTTGGGCAGCTCTCGTGCCATCTCCCCCATTAGCTGTGCGGTTATGTGAACCTGGGGCTGCTGGCAATCCAAACTGGGAAAACAATACATCTATCTCACCTGTATAGTTTGTTCGTGAACATTTTGGTAGTGCTTAACTCACAGGTAAGTGGGATTGCCTTCTCTACTCTTTCTGTCTCTGGTACTGTGCACACATTTCTCACTGACAGCAGGAGATATCTGTAGAGGCTCACCCTTCCATAGGGCCATGTATGACCTTCCCAAGGTTTCTGTTAATGCTACAGCAGGGGCTCTCTGACATTGACCCTTGGATATAAGCACATCCTGATAAGCAGAGTGAAGTCTGCAGTTTCTTGACTTCCCTTTTGTGCTTGGATCCTCTCGTAGCTTTGGGGCAAAAGGAATGGGGTAGAGCAGTGCCTTAATGAAAGCACTTTGAGCATATAGGACTTCACCTACTACCCTACCCCTTTTATCAACAGTGACAAGGAAGGGGAAAAAAGGCTTCTAATGAGAAGGAAAATCTTCATCACTTGTGGGTTATGCCACCATGGAGTGGAACTGTTGTAATTACCATGGCAGCTCTTGCTGCTTCTTTCTGCTTGTTCAAAGCAGGAATTGCTGGAAAATATTCCAGGCATCTTTCTCTGGAGCCTGAGAGTATGTACCCATCTTGGCATCTCTCTCTAGCTGAGCTCAGGACTGTTTTTTAGCAATCACTTTTCTGCTAAACAAAAGGCCTATTTGACATCTCTTAGGATTCAATGCCAGGTTTTTGGCAGTAGCAGACGGGGAAGAGGAACTACCACATGCAGGAAAGAAAAAAAAAAGATGAAGAAAATGTTCCTCACATATGGAGGGTGGGGAAGTAGAGAAGATAAGGGTTTCCATGGCAACATTCCTTGAAGATAAGTATTTTTAAATCTGTGTGAATTTTAGCATTCAAAACACAGTTGTGTTTCCCACAAAAAGACCTGGGGGAGGGCTGGAGTGGAAAGAATTTTTTCCCCTACTTTTCAGGTCATCCCTATTTCTTTTACAGAGGAGCCTGAACCCAAGATAAATGAAGTATGTGCGATTGCTCTGATGTTAGTGCTCCTGTAAAGAAAAGCCTTGCTTCCAGGAGGCAAAAAAGCATCAGTTGTAATT